CTGGATCGAGGCTGGCTCATAAAATGGGGTTCAGACATTTATGTCTCTGTCAGGATGAACTGTCATAATTTAACTAATCCATTATTATTTTTAATTTGCCAAATAAGTTGGTTCATGACCAAATATACTCCCATCAGCCTCAACTGTACATTTTGTTTAGTGCACATATTAACATGGAAACCTGCTAAACTAAGCTGGTGAACATGGGTAATGTTGTAATGCTAAGACATTAATATGTTAGCAGTAGGTGTACAACACTTACTTTTAATGTTTTATCTGTAAACTGTCAGAAAATGTCGACACCTTAACAATCCAATACCCAAAGAATATATTCAGTTTACTGTCAGATTTGATGATGCATCAAATCCTCACTCTCCACACAGAAGATAAAATCAGGGAACATGTGACAGTTTTGTTTGAAAAATGACTAAAACAGTCAATCATAAAAATAGCTGCTGATTCATTTCTGTGGAATGACTAATCCATTAATCTGCTAAACCTGTCAGGTGCATCACAAATCATGGCGAACTCATTAGACAAGGAGAGGTTCTGACTTTGGCGCCTCGTGTACATAGCTGGACCTGAACTGAATGTGGCAGCCGGTTTGTAAAGTTCGCCTGATAAACGGTAAATAGTCTCATACTTGTATGGAGCTTTTCTATGCATTGCGGCACACTCAACGCGCTTTCACACCAGTTGTCATTCACCCATTCGCACACAGACATTCACACACTGGTCACATCACCGGGAGCAACTTGGGGCTAAGTGTCTTGTTCAAGGACACTTCGACGTGTAGACTGAAGAACCCAGGAATCAAACCGCCAACCTTCAGGTTAGGAAGTGACCAGCTCTACCTCCTGAGTCACAGCTGGCCCAAATTATGGAAATTATAAAAGGCTCATGACTGCACAGAGGATCACAGGTCACACTCTTCCCCCCTTCATACCTGTACCCCCCTTGAACCATCTTCTACTATAATGTACACACACACACACTACCATCGTCTGAGGAGCTGCTCTTTCACTGGGATGCTGCGAAGAGCTGCTCCCAGCAGCATGAAGAAGGCGGAGAGCAGGAGTGATGCCCGCAAACCTGGAAGACACAAGACTGATCATGAAGGGGGTGAAATGGGGTGAGCCAAACTGAGGTTACCACCCAAAACCTAAAATGAAGTTCTTGTATTACTTCCAAAGTAGAGCTGCTGCTAATGATTATTTAGCAAGAAAATGACAGGTTTTAAGAAAATAGCTTAAAAATAAAAAATCTATAGCAATTTCCCAAAGGTTAAAAAGAAGTCTGTAAAGTGTTTGTTTGGTCTGACCAGCAAATCAGATCTCAATGATCTGATTCAACTTGGAATGATTATTAAAAAACATAAAAGCTGAAGCTGGGCTCAGCAGGTATCTGCCATCTTCTGCTTCTTAAATTCCTTAAATGGTTGTTGACCAACTAATCATTTCAGCACCATTTCAAAGCACCTACACTCCCCTGTCAGTTTATTAGACACAGAATAGTTTTTATTATTTAGCCTACACTCAATAGAAACAGGGAAGACAAACATTAGAAACATCTTAGTATAATAATACATTTACAATTCAACACCACCACACACTACAGCCTCAAGAATGACCATAACGTCGAACGTATAGCCACAACAGTTTGAATGAAAACTGAACTGAACCTTCATAAAGTGCGGATTTAACTAAGCACTGCATCGGTTTTAGCTACCAAAAAAGTGTATGTGGTCAGGAATAACCCATGCAGTCAGCCAACAGACAAGAGGAACCCCAAAGTTCCTCTCTCGTGTGACAGCAGCAGCATGGTCACGTGCCTTTCTATGTTTATCTTCTAAGGAAACTCTCTCCACTTCCCTGTTCTCTTTCCATATGAGCTCTGAAGTTTTGGCTAACAGGCTATAAACACCACTGACAAACTGGGCTGTTATGAAACTGCACTTTATTGATCCCTGATGGGAAACACAGGTCACAACATGTCAGTGCAGTCCAGTGGTACATGTTAGAAATGTGCTGTGCAGCATTTTGTAGATGTCAGAGTGGGCCTGCATTTAGTCAGTTGCTTGTGTTCTGCTGTGTCAAATATTACACACACACACACACACACACACACACACACACCTGACAGGAGCTTGTAACTGAATTCTTCAGGGGATATTATTGTTCTGTCAATAACCTCAGCAGTGCTTATTTGTCATTTAGGTTTCACAGCTGGACAGACCTTGGTGTGGTGATTAATCAAATAACTGATTAGCTGAGCAACAATACATTTTAAAAATTAGCACCTATTTTGATGAGTAATTAACTTTGCACTCCCGCTTTAACCCATGTTTAGATGCCCTTAAATGAGGCACATAACACCCCAAAATTTGAGTTGTACTGGGCAGCTCTCACAATAAATGTGTAACCAATGCAAGTGTTAAGGCGGGAATTGACCAAAAAATTTGGATTTTTGTTTAGCAAAAGAATTAATTAGGTAGTAGATAACAACTTTAGTAATGAATTATATGTTGAAGTCATTTCTCAAGCAAAAACACCAAACTTTCTCTTGTTATATGTGAGAACGTTCTACAGAACAAAACAAGCAATTAGTCAACATCAGACTGAGCTCTTATTTATTCAATTTCATAAATTTATATGGTTAACAAAAAAAATCATTTTATGAAAATAACTATTAGCTGTCTCCCTAAACTGACCATGGAGATGTATGTTCTCTAAAAATGTAACGTCCAAAGAGCACCCAATGCAGTGGGGCAAATAAGTATTTGATACACCGCTGATTTTCCAAGTTCTCCCGCTTACAAAGAACGGACGGGTTATGTAATTTTCATCGTAGGTAAACCTCAACTGTGAGAAACAGAATCTACAAAACAAATTCCAGAAAATCACATTGTTAGATTTTTAAATAATTTATTTCCATTTTATTGCATGAAATAAGTATTTGATACAATAGAAAAATAGAACTTAATATTTGGTACCAAAACCTTTGTTTACAGTTACAGAGGTCAGACGTTTCCTGTAGTTCTTGACCAGCTCTTCACACACTGCAGCAGGGATTTTGGCCCACTCCTCCATACAGGTCTTCTCCAGATCTTTCAGGTTTTGGGGCTGTCGCTGGGCAACACAGAGTTTCAGCTCCCTCCATACATTTTCTATTGGGTTCAGGTCTGGAGACTGGCTTCTTAAAGACAAACTAACAGGTCTGTGAGAGCCAGAATTCTTGCTGGTTGGTAGGTGATCAAATACTTATTTCATGCAATAAAATGGAAATAAATTATTTAAAAATCTAACAATGTGATTTACTGGAATTTTTGCACTGTACATCTTCAGATTATTTTCTTATAAGAACAAATCAGTTATGTGATAATATTGTTACTGCAAAGATATTATGATCTCTGTGGTGCACATGGGCTAATATTTCAAAAAATGCCGCATTTCTATTTACTGACAAAAGGTCAGCAGCTTATATTTCTACGAGGTACTGAGGCACAGTGCTGTGAGAAGAACTTATAAGCTTTACACCCTCACAGTTAAACAGGTGAATCAGCTCTCAGATACATTGTGTCAGCATATATGAATGTCACACACTAACTCTAGCATCTCTGGAACAGCAGTGATTGTGTTGTTGACCATCAGCAGTCTCAACCCTGGGGTAGATGGAGCTCCCAGAGGGAGGCACACCACAACTTATCGTGAGCTGTGAGTGCTGAATGAGCTGTCCTAATTGGCCTCAGAGGCTACGGTACAAATGTAAACTATACAGGTCTGAAAAGAACTGACTACAGGATTATTTTACCTCATGTAGTTTTGGCAGCAAGATGTTTTTACCACTCACTGAGTGCAGCACACATGTTGTGCCACCCAAGCTTAAATTAGGCAAACAAAACACCCAGAACAGCTGACTGATGATGAATCAGAATCATATGATAGATTGTGCAATTTTGCTTGTGGTCTTTAAACCGCCAGCAACCTTGTTACTGTGATGTTGTTATTGTCACCTGACAATCTAGGCATTAACTGCTGTCAGATGATGCTGACAAACTGGTTAGGTGAAGGATGTTGGGATCAGTAGCTCAAGTCAGGATAGTGACTTCAGACAAAAGTAAATTTACAAAAGGTTATGTTGTCTCATGAATTTGAATCCTCTTGAAAAAGAAGGCTTACAAGCCCTTCAAGACTTGTTTACTCACATCAGACAACCCTTTTGCACAGAGAGATGTTGAATTTAAAAGTGACACAGAGCAAGTGCCATCAGTCCTTTTTTTCTGCCAACATTTTCTACAATCAGGTCCATTATTATAGCTTAAGATGAATGAAAGTGAAACCTGTACACCTGCATGTGCACGTAGACCAGTCAATTACAGTGCCTATAAAAAGTATTCACCCCCTTAGATGTTTTACCCTTTTTACTGATTGTATAAATCAATCATGGCCAAGGTAATTTGGCTTTTATGACAGAAAAAATACAACAAAAAACTCTTTAATGTCAAAGTGAAACAGGTTTCTACAAAGTAATGTCAATTAAGTTAAAATATGTAGTGTGAAATAAGTGATTGCATAAATATTTACCCCCTTTAAAATGACTGACCTAATTCAACAGAGGTCCAGCCAATGAGTGCTAATAGTCTCACAATTAGTGAAATGAGGATCAGCAGAGTGCAGTGAATGTGTCTCAAGTCATTGTGGTATAAAGACACCTGTGTCTGGAAGGTCCAGTCACTGGTTGGTCAGTATTCCTGGTTACCATTACACCATGAAGACAAAAGAACACTCCAAGCAACTCAGAGAAAAGGTTATTGAAAAGTCTAAGTCAGGGGATGGATACCAAAACATTTCCAAGGCACTGAACATCCCCCAGAGTTCAGTTAAATCCATCATCAACAAATGGAAGGAATCCTGTCTAAATCGGCCTAGATCAGGTCGTCCTCGCAAACTGAGTGACTGTGCAAGAAGGAGCCTAGTGAGCGAGGTCACCAAGACACCTATGACTACTCTGGAGGAGTTACATGCTTCAGCAGCTGCGATGGGAGAGACTCTGCATACAACAACTATTGCCCAGGTTCTTCACCAGTCAAAGCTTTATGGGAGAGCAGCAAACAGAAAGCCACTGTTGAAGAAAGCTCATTAAATCTCGACTAGAGTTCACCAAAAGACATGTGAGAGACTCTGTGATCAAGTGGAAGAAAGTTCTTTGGTCTGATGAGACCAAAATGGTGCTTTCTGGCCATTAGACAAGGCGCCATGTTTGGCGGACACCAAACATAGCGTCATAAAGGTAGAGGGTAAAATGAATGCGGCAAAATATTGGAAAATCCTGGAGGACAATCTTATTCAGTCTGCAAGAGAAGTATGGCTTGGGAGAAGATTTATTTTCCAGCAAGACAATGACCCGAAGCATACAGCTCTTTGACATTAAAGAGGAGTTTGTAATCTGTTTTGTCAAAAAAAGCCAAATTACATTGACCATGACTGATTTATACAATCAATAAAAGGGTGGACACTTTTTATAGGCACTGTAACTGACAGTAATCTAAGTGACAACTATTCTTAATAATATTAATTATCAAGCAAAAACCCCAGCTGTATGTTCCCAGTTTCTTAAATATAAGGGTTCATGCTAGTTGTTTTCTGTTTCATACCTTAATATTTGAATGTCTTTAAACCTTTGGTCAAACAAAACTGAGAAACTGCAATGGGCACTTTTCACTGCTTATAGATGTAATAAGATAAAAATAGTCATTCTGTCTGATATTGGACAATGAACATGACAGTTTGATGCATTCATACCTAAGACCCAGCATTTTGTGACTACAACATGAGTGTCAGCTAGTTTACTTGAGGAATTATCTGCTAAGGCTAGGCTACCAGTTTATATCCCACCAGTTTAGGAAAAAAACAGATGGATATCCCTCTGTGTAGGGATCAGGTACCTTCCTTTAGACAGGAATCAATGCTGTGACCTGGTAGGCTTGGTATTTCTTCTGTTACTTTAGAGTAAGTAAATTTTATTTATATAGCACCTTTCACAGACAAGGTCACAAAGTGCTTTACAAAGTCAAAAGATAAAAAGAGATAAATAATATATATATATAAGCCTAAAAAGTATTCACATAGCACAACACAATTTATAAAATGAATAAACCCAATCAATTAAAAAACTGTCTAAATAAATGTGACTTCAGCTGTTTTTTAAAATCATCAATAGATTCAGTCATACGTAGAGTCAAGGGTAGGGCATTCCACAGTCTTGGAGCTACGACCTGAAAAGACAGGTCCCCCCGAGATTTAAAACGAGTT